CTTGTGTTTCGGTTTTGTTTTGCATGGTTGCGCCTGCAACAGACGAAACTCGAGTCAATCTTGCTTCCACATCTTTTATTGGAATTGATTATTTCCATCTGTAAATTATACAACTTGACTCCTCCTCCCCCCCAAAAAAAAAAACAAAAATAAAAATCACGGTGAAGCCACAAAAAAATGATTTTCGAAAAAGTATCAAATCAGAAAAGTGGCGCGGCGTCCAGAGCTGCCACGCGGGCTGCGAACAGTGCCACGCTTTTCTCCACGTGAGCGTTGACCGTCGCTGGAGTCGCACGTGGATTCTCACGCACGAACTGAGCCACGCTCAGGATGCACTCCTTCTGAGCTCACGCACGCACACACACACACACACACACACACACACACACACACACACACACACACACACAATTTCAAAAGTAATTCCCGCGATCTTAAAATTGATCAACTTTTCAGGCTACCCAAGCAACGATTTGCCCCACAAATCACAAAGCGCCAAGCAAACACACTTAGCAACTTTTACTCATAGTTCAGCAACTGTTAAGCCGCACACCAGTACACCCAATTGGAGAGATGATACAAAGTCATCCAAATCTGAGCTTCGCATACTTTTTACACAAAGTAGCAGCCCCACAAAAAATTAATCGACTCTCCATGCCACATTCGCTGACCAACAATAACACAAAAAAACAACAACAGCAGCATACTAGGCCTAGGTGTTCATCAAAAAGGACAAACTTAAACATTCAAGCTGTATTATTTGCTTTAGTCTCATGTTATACTATTATAATTGCTTTTTATATATTAGACCAAAAATTAAACAATACCAAAGTCTTTGTGAAAAGCATTTGTAATTTCTGAGAATAAAATCAAAATACCCGGCAATGAGCAAATCACGCATGGGCGATGTTCTGGCGAGAAGAATCGGCAGCTGTACCTTGTAGGCGTCTACCCGCGGCTGTCCCGTGAGGCGGCCCAGCAGCTGGTGGGCGACGCGGATGCCGGTGGCCAACGTCAGCAGGCCGCGGTCCTCTGAGCTGTCCGAGCTCAGCCATCTCAGCAGCGCCACCTGCAGGAGGCGCGAGCGCCGCAGGAGCCATCAGAAACCCGTTCGTTTATTTGTTGTTGTTGTTTGTTTTGCTTTGTGTTGCCAGCCAAAATATTGCTCGAGTGAGGTGGGGGAAAAAAATTGAGCCATTTCAGAGGCGTGATATCCTGCCATTTGGGTATGGACAGGCACGTCACACTGTCTAGCATTTATTGAATGGGGCGCACTAATACAAAATGACAACACTAGCAAGGAGCAAACACTGACACCAACTTGGGCCACTGTTTAGGCTACTCCCCTCAAAGGTACACATGCAACACGAGATGTGTGACTTGGCTTGCAGTCTTTGATTATGAAGTCATCACTTCATGGCAAAGAAAATACAAAATAGGATTTATGGGCGTTGTGCATAAGTCAGGATGTTGATGAATTTGTACAGCATACATTCATGGCCTGAATCCTAAAACAAATTTATCTGATGATGTTTTGTTTTGCATGTTTTTGCACCTTGAAATTCCTCTCTACTGCCAAGTTCAACTATTACGAAAAGAATTGGACAACAACAATCTGCCTATAATTCATCGCTTCGAACTATTATTCAATGGGTATCTTAAACTAATCGGACATTTAAGTGGTTATTAGTTTTTCCCCAACAGAATCAAGATCACTGCTATTTAACAATACTAGGAGTTCAATTTAACAGGTACTATTTTTCGTGTTCTTGTAGATCAAAGGAAGTGAAAATGTTGGGCTAGTGACGGGTTCAGACTTAGGCCGAGAATGAGCGAAACACGTTCCGGAACTGTTCTTTGTGATGCTTGGCGCTCGCCACTGAAAGACGTCATCGTCCGCGAACTTCTGCTTACCTGCTGAAATAAATCCAAGTTGCTCATTTGTCCTTCGCCCGTCGACATGTTCAACGACAAAGTGACGAAAACAAATGAGACACTTTGGTCTGCAAAACCCCAATGCGAGTTTCGACAGTCGTATTCACTTTTGTTTACATTTACGCCTCGTCCGCCTTCTTCTTCGTTGCCGTCTTCTTGGCTGTGATCTAAACCGCTGCCGCCACCAAGCGGCCGCAGCGTCACACTGCCACAATGGGGATTCTCATGGAGTGGGTTTTCAAAGCGCAAAAGAGGGGTTCGGGATTGTTTGCGATCAAAGCGTCTTTTGCCATTCGTCATGCCTTGTACAGGTGTCTTTGTTGGCTTTATTAGTCGATTGGAAAGAGCGGAAAATGTTTCTTTTAGACTTCCTAAAATCATGACAAAGCAGGGATTTCATGCTCACCCGGAAGAAAACCAATCGATCACAGAGAGCTAATTTGTTGCGAGCCACAAACATCGTCGTCGGTTAGCAGTCTCGTGACCTTCACATACGTGCAGAAGTGATGTTTCCCTTTTCTTTACTGAGCAACCATGAAACAAGAAAAGTGAAAACAGGAAATATTTCAAAATCAGCCTCGTTTTTGCTGACGATTGTTGAATGTCAAATCCTGCTTTTTAAGCCTACAGAAAGCAATGGCTGTATACATCATTGGCCATGTGATCGAGCAGTTATGTTCGATGTTAATTTGGAAGAAGCAGCATTTTTCCCCCCCTGTAAATGCAGAGGGAGCCAAACACTACCGAAGATGTGTTTTGCCCATTGCTCTTGCGCTCTCTCAAGATATAGTTTTGGATGTGTTAGACTTATTTTAATCTGCTTGTAGACAATAAAAAACAAGTGCTATAAATATGATTTAAAAAATGCCCAGTGGGTATTCAAATGTGAATTTCATCTATTGTGGCACATATCCCCGCCCCACAATTACTTGTACAGTAAAATTGTCTGATATCATGTTTGTAATTCATATCTTTATTGTTGCAAGTATTGCAGGACCAAAATCTTTAATTGGTTTCAAATGAATTGGCCAATTGCAGTCTTCAGAATTTCTCTCTAGCCAAATGTGCGACTCAGACTCGGGATGGTCGAATTGTCCGGCTCGAGTGTCAAGGTCCGTTATGGCGGTCCATCCCTGTGCTTTCCCATGTTGCGGGTTCACGCATCAGAATTGCAGACCTGGTTTTGACACGATGTATTTGAACAAAAAATATGAACACACAATTCAAATGAGATTTTGGCAGTCATGTGACATTGTCGTCCAAATGTTAATGTCATGAAATGACATCTAACAGTCGGTCGGTGTTTGTCTTTGCCGATGGCGAGCGGTCAACAGCGTTATTTGGCTTTGGTAAAGGTTCCCAGCTGTTTGGTGTTGACGTCCTTGAGCTGCTCCAGTTGCCGCTGAGCTCGCCGGTACAAATATTCAATGTGCATCACGTCTGTCTTTTTGATGTTGGCGTTCTCCCGGAACTCGTCTCGGATGCGGGGCAGGAACCCCGGCTTGTCCCGCCCAGCCCGGAGGAACTGTCGGTACAGCGCCAGGACCTGCTTTTGCAGCTTGCTATGCCGCGCCATCCGCGATGCCAACGAAAGACGCAGTGAGCTCAACGCGCCTTTTCCAATCAGCAACTGGCCACCAGGTGCCGCTGTGAGGGAAACGTCTTAAAAGCCCCAGTGAAGCATCGACTTCCTCTGTTGATCCAGGTGAGCTATGATTTGCTGACAGACAGGAAGCATAAAACAATTTCAGAGGCTGGATGCAGGGAGGACACTCACAGGGCAATGCGCTGTAACCATGGTAACCGAGCCTGTGAAGTAAACTGGCAGCCAGGACAAGATCTAAATAAATCATTTGCTATTCTACTCAGTGTTTTCTTCTTCAATCTTTTTATGGTCTCATGATGACATCCCCAAACTAGGACAAGAATGCGCAAATTTAAATCCGATAAAAATCGATAATTTATCATACCTTAAATTGATCATGCATATCCTATTCAGCAAATACTAGATTGAAAACCATAGCATCTACAATAAACATTTTAGAAATTAGCAAAGAGGGACAAAACCTGAAATGTACTACGCACCAAACAAGTCATGACTTCAATTGTGATGAATCATCAAATGCCAACCAGAAAACGTTTATTACTCATTTGCATTGACAAGAGAAGACGCAATATGTCTCACATAAACCATGAGGTACATTGTAACAATTGACAATATCAGTATGTTTGTGAAAAAAAGGCACTTGCAAATCTTGCAGGCATTGTTTAAAAGGCTTTAAGTCTTCATGGAACAAAACAGCAGGAGCACTTTGTGCCGAGGTAAACTGCTGGAAGGAAATTTATGGGTTGAACGTTGGAGTAACAATACAAAGGAAAAGCCTTGTAAACCTCCGTTCAGTCGTTATAATTTCCCGACCCAAAAAGATCCATAGACGAAAAAGATGGGACTACTATTGTAAAATCACTGAACACATTCATTTACATTCACATTTATTTTGTCAATAACTGAAAACCGATAAGGAACACATCGAGGCTAAGTAAGTTAAGCAAGCGACCGGACAGTGAAAATAACGAGAGACACGACATGCCACCAGCACAACACAAATACAATTTTCTCGTCTCAGTCACTGTTTAAGAATCGAGAAACGTTTTCCACATTTCATTATTATTGGTACATGTCACACTGGCGACTGATTCGCGTGTTACCCTGCCTCATATCACCCACGTCATGTGAGCAAAACAACGTATTTATTTATTCAGGTGATTTAAGTTTTGGTGGCAGTGTTGAGGTGAGCAAATGGGTACATGTCTTACCTGAGTCATCCTCACGTCCCGGGGTTGCACACACGTCCCTCTCGCTGCACAAAAAAAATATCACAAAACGCCTCAAGAAAACAAAAATGTACTTCATGAAAGGAGCAAGTACGACGTCAGGCAAATGAATGACTTCAACTCACCGTTTTACGTCACTGAGTTGGCGTCGAACGGACAGCTAACCTTCACGTCAGCTCACTGTTAGCCGAGCCAAGCTAGCCTGTTACGACAGAAGCGCAAGGGATGAGCGCACGCGTACTTCTCATTTCCTATTTCAAAATAAGATCTCACTTGCTTTGAATTCTCTCATCCTGAATAAAGACGCTTACATGCGTAAAAATAACGCGAAAACTAAGCTTTTTTAATAACATCTATATCTTGTATTTTGATTTAGACGAATGTTTGTCTTCAAATCTCCAATTTGAGCATATTATAACGTTAATTTTGCAAAACCTCAAGGTGAAAGTAGATGTACATCCGGTGGCGTCACCCAATCTCAAATGTCAAAACACCGCAGAGGTGATTCCAAGCTGAAAACCAGGTCGGTGGAAGTCTTTTTTACTCTGTATTGAAATATCGAGGATAAATCTACGTTCGGTAAATTACGCTCATCTGATAATATCTGATGACTTTTCAGTGTGCTTACGGTTTACGTGCAGTTGTGCCTGTTGTAACAGTGTTGTTAAGGCCAGGAACTCGTAATGCTCAAATGTTGGATTTGAAGAACGAGGTCGTATCTTCTTCATATCTTTATATTCACGTGCAGGCTTCTAAGGAGGAGGAAAGTGTTTGTTTCAAACGTTATTGTTTTTTGGCAAATAATCACTCACTTAGAATTGGAATTGGGTTTGTAAATACAGCTAGAAATATATTTTAATTAAAATTGTTTTTGCCGACATATGAACAATATTTAACAATTTAATGTAACACCTGGTTAATGAATTGTACATATGACAATGAAGCAAAATACGACATCAATTTTTCATCGCAGCTGACTGCGATGGGCCAATGAGAGGCCAGTGAGCCGGTCACATGGAGGTGATGGCGCTGGAGCAGGTGGAGGCGCAGGTGGAGCGTCTGCTGGGCGGCCTCGGGTGCGAGGTGATGATGTGCGACGTCGGCCTGGAGCAGAGCAAGCCGGCGTCGCTCAGAAACAACGTCACGTACATCGTGTGTGCCGTTGTCTTCAACGACTCGGTGACGCACGCCGCCAAAATACATCCCGATGCATTCTGGCAATCCAGCACTGGCCGTTGTTGCCTAAATGCTTCTCTGTGTGTGTCAGGAGGAGGTTCTGATGGTCCAGGAGGCCAAGCAGGACTGTTACAAGAAATGGTACCTGCCGGCGGGCAGGGTGGAGGTTGGCGAGAGCCTGCAGGAGGCCCTGCTGAGAGAGGCGAGTGGAAATGTCGGCATCCGACTAAAGAGAATTAAAGCTGCCAGCGGCAATCAATTACCTTCGAATTGCTTCAGCTTAAAATGGCCGGTCAAATTGGTTTTGGGGGCTGAATCCAGTGTCTTTTTGGGCATGGCTTCTTGAGAATTTTTTGTGGGTCTACTCATGATAGACATGACTACCAAATTTCACGCCGCGGAAGCAAACTGGCTTCAGGGGCTGAATTTTCCAAACATAGCAGTGTGCTCTACGATGCCAATAATGTCTGCGTACAGGTGAAGGAAGAGGCGGGCTTTGAGTGCCAGCCAATCACATTGCTGCTGATCCAGGAGCAGGGACCTCAGTGGATCCGCTTCATCTTCCTGGCCAAGATCACAGGTGAGTGGTCGCGAAGTGGCGGTACAAAACCGCAGTAGCCTTTTGGCCAAGCGAGCATACATGCGTTAACCATCTGCGCTTCCAGGAGGGAGCATCAAGACTTTGTCGGCGGCGGATCAAGACTCCCTCCAGGCTACCTGGTGGGACAGACGTGCCCCACTCCCTCTGAGGGGCCGGGACATCCTGCGTCTCATCGACTTTGGGCTCAAGTAAGACCTTGTTATGTTTAGGAGTGGTGTGAAAGTGGTCTTGGACTTGTTTCTGTGTCGTACTGGTTTTGGACTTGTCTCTGAGTCTTAGTGGTCTTGGGCCCTCCTCTCAGTCAAATCGATCCTGGACTGATTGAGTCATCCATACAAAGTGGTCTTGGATTTGACCCGAGTCAGAGTGGCCTTGGACTCGTCTCTGAGTCAGCATTGTCTTAGACTCGTCTGAGTGGTCTTGGACTTTTCCAAATCAAAGTGGTCTTGAACTAGAATTGGACTCCGGGTGGTCTTGAACTTTTTTTCTGAGTCAAACTGGTCTTCGACGAGTGTCTGAGTGTTGATTGTGCCGGTTCAGGTACCGCCACGACGCCTGGCATCCCGTCACACTGCCGCTGGACATGAGCTGCCGCCATGTGGTCCAGAGGCTGGTGCTGATCTTCAGCGCAGACGATAACATCTGGATCCTGGTGGTCAAAGGTAGACCCCGCGTCCCCCGCCTCTCCGGGATTGCTTCAGAACAATGGATTTTGACAGTACTTGGCCATTAGTGCCGAATTTTGCTCTCAGAATTTTCTGCCTTGGTCGCTACCAGTGCACATGCCGTCTTCCTGTGATGTCTGTCAGCCCCCAGGCCCCACCTCCCCATAGCGGCAGCTCTGAAGACTCACGCCGTCACGTGGGCGGCCAACATGGTGGCGCAGGACGCCATGCCGTCGACATACTACGAGCACAACGTCAACACGCTGGGAGTGTTCAGCCTGCAGCACGACGGTCGGCAACACGGAAAGACGGACGGCGTGTGCTTCAACACGCTCGTGGCCCTGCAGCCCGACCGCGTGGCGCGTGACGAGGACGGCGCCAAGATGCCGCCGCCGCCCGCCCAGATGCCGCCGCCCGTGGAGAACCCTCGCTACGTTTGGCACCGGGTCCTCATGCCCGGCGTCAGAGAGAAACTGCTGGAAAAGAGCAAAAACACCAGCATCCTGCCCATACACAGCCTCTACTGATGGCCAATACCGGTACGAGTTCTCATTCTTGAGTGCTCGCCAGTACCGATAGCAGTTGTACTTTTGCAACACAAAATTACAATGAACATGAGGAGATTTAATTGTGCACCAAGACCTTTCCTTTCCAGTTTTCTGACTGTTCTGGTCTCACCGGCACTGAGGTAACTCAGTCAGGTCAACGCAAGAGTTCAACAGATCCTTTTGAAGCCAGAACTTGTTTTGGGATGTTATTGTGTGAAGCAGTCACACAAAATGCAAACCCCAATCACATCGTGTAAAATGCAAGCAAAAACATAATACTGCACAATGATTTACAAACCCTTTTCATTCTAGTGAACCTCGTTGCGGTCCGGCACCCACAGACTGACACATTTCCATTTTTTTCCCTCTTTATTTCACCCCTTTTACTCTTTGAAAATGTATTTTGAACGTTTATCAGCATTATTTTTAAATGTTTTTTTATTTTTAGTTTGAATAAAAAAGGGGGAAAACCACCTACTCGGGTTGACTGTGGATCGAAAAGCGCCATTTTGAATTTTCGACTCGTCTTCTCCCGCCACCCTGCGTCACTTCCTCTGTCTCAAACGATTTCTGCTCTCTGCTGGACAAACCTCGCTACTGCAGGCGATACAAGCGTCAAAACATATTCCCGCGAACATTTGGGTGGGGTACGAAGAAGCTACAAATATTTCACTCGACAGCAACTTGACTCGTGTGACATTTACAGTGTTGCTTTTGCATGTTATAAATACAGCGTTGACTCAACCCTTGTCTGGTCTAATCTAACTATGAGCGTTGGTAATCCGCAGAGTGAAATCTAAACAAGTGCGTGAAGCTTCTATTTGAAAATCAACAGCTGACAGAGTTCCTGTCAGAATTGCATCACGTCTACCCGTGACATGAGCGCGTTACGTTTCATACAGCAGTCACATGATTCCCCCCCCCCCCAGAAAGGTCAACAACATCATTTAAAAATGATGAGCATGTTTTCTTTTGAACTTAATTTACAAACATTTCAATGCCAACTCTCCTCCAGGGTGACGTGGCTCAGCTGGTCTCCCAACTTGAAGGTTGCAGGTTCCATCCTTAGCCGACGTGGGGCCAGACGGGCTTTTCCATCCAGAGGACTGAGGTTTAGTCTGGGCCGCCGTGCGAGCGCACGTGTGCCGTCAGCGTTCTCTTTTGAGCGAAGGTCATGCCGCAAACGGGGCAGGCCAACACGGCCTCCCTGCTGTGCGACTTCACGTGCGCATTTAAACTGTTCCTGTACGGGAAGCGCTTTCCGCAAAGCGAGCAGGTGAAAGGTTTTTCTCCCGTGTGCGTGCGCATGTGCACGTTCAAACTGCCCTTGCAGGTGAAGCGTTTCGCGCAGAGGGAGCAAGCGAAGGGTTTTTCTCCGGTGTGAGTCCTCATGTGGGACTCCATGTGCACCCTTTGAGGGAACCTTTTCCCACACACGGAGCAAGCGTAGCATTTCTCCTCTGTGTGTATGCGGGTGTGTGACACCATGACTGACTTGAGCGCGAAGCGATCGCCGCACACAGAGCAAGCGAATGGTTTTTCTCCCGTGTGCGTGGTCATATGTGACTCCATGTGCACTTTCTGCGAGAAACCTTTCCCGCAAAGTGAGCAGTTGAAGGGTTTCACCCCCGTGTGCGTCCTGCCGTGCGAGATCATGTGTGACTTTTGGGAGAAGCTTTTCCCGCAGACGGAGCAGCAGAAAGGTTTCTCTCCGCTGTGTGTCTTCATGTGGGTGGACAAGTTGCACTTGTGAGAAAAGCTTTTGCCACAAACGGAGCATGCGTGGCGGTCTTTGGCCGCCGCTGCCGGCTCGCCGTGGTCATCTTCGCTCTTCACCACCACCAGCACGGTCAGAGGTGACGCTCTGGCGTCCGGCTCCTGAGCTTCCTCTTTAACGTGGGGTACCTGGGGGTCCTCTTCTTCTACGGGACACCAGCAAGAAAAACACTCAAGTTCACCATTTCCGTTGACTTTTTCATCAGTAGGAACGACAGAGATGCCCCTCGTCCTTGAACATGCTGGATATTTTGTAAGGAACAGATGCGTCTCAGCCTCCCGGTAGAAGAGGTAGCGGGATGGCCAAGGCCACGGGACGCCTTGGGGTCCCCAGCCCCATTTTATAAACTAATTAATACATTTCCCACCCAATTCTTTTTATTTGGAGGTGGGGGAGTCTAAATACGCTTCCTGTACAAATAGCGACCCCACTTATTCGCGGATTCACCAATTGGACGAAGATTTAATTTTTGTTTTTCAATAAACTGGCTAACACATTTTGGTCCAAGAAAGTTCCAACGGTTTTCGCCTACTAGATGTTTACCGGAGGTTTTTGAAGTGGTTTACAAATTACAACAGAATTTGTTTTGCCCACTTTTCGCATTTCATTTCAATGAGCGTCAATTGTACACGTATTTTGTCCATATTCAAAACAGCATTTTCCCCCTACGTCTGGTTAGGAAGTCGGGGTTGCATGCGACCCGTAATGTTGCAGGAATAAAAAATTGCCCCCGCTCCAGCATTTAAGTTGCGCATGCTTGGCTTTGATTCTGGTCCCGAGCCGCCATCCATGTCAACAACCGCTTTCAGCCGCGGTCAAATCGTCCAAATGATCCGTTTGATGTACAAACCTTGTCGTTGCGCCACATCTGGAGGCGTGCAAACAGTTTCCAATTGTCGTCGCTGTCGCTCGCTCTCGTCTCTCACCCGGCAAAGTTGCTCCTCGTACGACGCGATCGTCCGTTCAAACATTTCCAAGATCTCATCGGCGGCTGCCATCAGTCGCTCCCTCACCAAATCTTTCAGCATTTTGACGGAGTTGTATTTGTTTATTTTTAATATTGTCACTCGCTACGGTTTTACGTGGTTTACTTTATTGGTTGCTTCTTGTCGTGGTGTCGGTGAGAGGGTAACTTCCGCCTTTTTCTTCTTCGTTGGTCTTCCTCTTTGACGGCAGGAACCAGACACGTCTCACGGGCGCCACCTTACAGCGGTATTGCAAGGCTAATGGTCATCGGGAAAACACGAACGCACTCACAACACGATGACCCCGCCCCCACCTTAAACAAATGCATTGAAGTGAAATTAAATTTAGGTTATGCGTTAGAAGTTTCTTATTTATTTTTGCTCGACGTTGTACAGTTTCCAGTAAATTTACATGGGAAGTTTCAATGAACAAGGCGATAATAGCTTGGGATTTTTCATTTTAGTTTGTATTTCGTTTTGATAATTTTTTAAATTGACTTTTGATCAGATTTCACACAGGCTCAATTTTTTATTTGTTCGTTTCCACTCCTCCCCAAAGGCTTTGGTTTAGTTTAATTTTTGTACGTTTTACTGTCAGTTGTTTTAGTTTCTTTTATATGGGCAAGATAATATCACGGTAAATATTGTGCAGTTAAAAACTCTACAAAAATCATTTTAACCCATTTTAAAAACAAACATCCATAAATGAAATACAGATTCAATCGTCCGTAGACTTTTACAATAGGCGCAGCGCACAAGAACGCTTCTCAAGTTTGATACATCGCAACGCTAAGGTCTTCAATGTAGCAAAGATGGTCTCGCTTTCCATCCCTCGTTTGTCAGGTTGCCAACTTCCAAAGTGCATTTGTGGCGTGAGAGGTCCTCACACAGCACGATAAGACGCTTCCCCACTTAATATTTTTATCTGTCCTTCAGTGAAAATCGATAGCATTCCTTGCCCGCATGCAAGGGCATTAGAGTACTTTAAATTCTCCATGTTTTTGTTGCGTAAACAATAAAAAAAGTAAACTAGTTTGCCTGCCCTGAATGATAAGTTGACTTCAATTTGTTGTCCAAAAAGGCTGCTAGTTGGGGACCCTGTTAGTGGGGAATTTGTGCATCCCGATGTCGGGTTCACGCATGTCACTGATTGGGACCAAAAGCTGCCGTTCCTCAAGGTCCCAATCTAGCCTCCACCCGCGAATCGGGTCTTCTTTCGGGATCCGGTCCGCTCGGTTGATCCGGAATGTTCCAAAACGGATAAGCGGCCCAACCTCAGATCTTGTCGCGGTTGGTTGGCGCCTAGTGCGTACAAGCATCTTTGTAAGGGGACTGAAACTCTGTGAGAAAGATCCTCCGATAGACCCATTCCTTCTCCGGTTCTTTTCCGTTTTTTCTGCATTGTTCTTTGTAAAGACGATGCATTTGCGCGACGGTCAAGCCCGGCCAGGGGAACTTCCTCTCCCGTTGCGTGTCGTGGCTCTCGTACTCGGCGAACGAGTAGATGTGATCTTTGATGGCCTGCACGGACTCGTGGCTGATCCTCTTGCGATTGTCGTGCTTGCCCCTGCCGTCGGGAGAAGGTAAATCTTGGCCTTTCTCCACCTGTTTTAGGAGCGCTCGATAAACTCTTCCGTTGGAAACGCACAGCGTGGTGAGGAAAAACGTCTTGCACACCTCCACGTAGCCGCTCTGGCTGGTAGTGAAGCTGTATATCCGAGAGTAGGTGCGATTTTTGGACTCGCCCGCGGCTCGCTGTTGGTGCTGCGGCCGTCGTCGCTGGATGTTGACTAGTTTGACGGAAGCGCAGATGAAAGCGTTCTGCAGATCAAAATTACCCATGTCCCAGAAGTTCCGGAATATCACTTGGCGTTCTTCTTCCGAGACGTTTTCGGCGCATTTGTGTCGGCACAAGTGGCGAGAGAGAGGGACCAGGTTTTTCTCCGGGATGGGGATGCCCCTGGTGTTCACGTAGGCCTTGCCCTTATTTCTGGCCTCTTTCATTTCACTTCTCAGGCATTCGTGTGGACGACGTTTTTTCTTTTTGCCTTTCTGCGGTGGAGCTGAAATGGAAAGTTCAATATTTTACACTGGTGCTCGTCACAGAAGCCCTCTACAAGGCCTTGGTTTTCCAGGAGAAACATTGAACATTTGCAAAGCAGTAGCCACATTTTTAGCAACGAGATGCAGCGATCTTTGTGGAATTTTTGAGAGAAAAAAAAAAAAGGAATGAGGTCTTCAACACCTTGAAAATGCTCCATTAACAATACATGAATTTAAAAAGTACAAAAGCTATCCTGTTAGCAACAAATCAGGAAGTATTCAGCTGATGTTGAATGTGAAATCCTTTTTCATCCTGCTTGTTACGCCTACATAAAGCCAGACGAATAATTTAGGCTGATAACTCGAGTAAAAAAGGGCTCATAAAATATGAATGTGGATTAATTAGGGGATTAGCATTTAGTAGTTGCAAATCTGCAACACCTGCCCCGAGAGAGGCAAAAAAAGTGCTTCAAAGAACATGCTGAGGGACTTGTCGTGTCCTTCAGGCTTGTCAACAATCGCGTGTGTTCTATTCACCTTTATTTTCTTCGGTTGTGCTGCGTTCTGCATTGCCTGGAGTGCTTGCACTTTGATCCATAAGTGAGGTACTGCCATCATCTTCCGATTCGGATGTTAGATCCCTGTCAGTATCATCTGGGTTGCCTGGAAGAAAAAAAAAAAAAGTTTCGGCACAATAGAGGTCCAAGTCCAAACATGGGTCGGGACTATCAATATGTCATGTGATGATCGACACACTGTGACAATGTCGTGTGTACTCGTGTGTGCGCGCTCTCGATTTTGGATGATAGTTTCAACTTTCTTACGAGCATTAACAAGAAAGAAAGTCTGCTAGTGATCATTTGTGCAGTGACTGGAAATGACAATCCAGCGAGTCCCGTGTCCGAACGATGCAGTCCATTTTATTGCTCGAAGGTTAATTCAATATTATGGTGACCGGTTTCGTGACCGCTTGGTAGAAAACTTGAAATCTCGTCTTCACCTTCAGCGAGCAGGTGATCCTTCAAAAGTCGTTGTGCGTCGTCGCCGTCTGAAAGCGGCGCGAAGAGGTTGTCCGCTTGGGGTCCTCCGCCTGGACTGCAACCTCCAGGTCGTGACAACCAGGGTGCTTCATCTTTGTCCCCTTCAGCCAGCACATAAAACTTGCTTATGCTGGCCTCCTCCTCTTCCTGTTTTAAGGAGAGGAAGGGCTCTGGAGGTTCTTCTTTCTCTTTTCGGTCTGGGGGCTCTGTCACACAAACACATTCGTACTTCACCTTTTTCATCTTCACACTGGGCGCCAGTGACGGCGCCGTACAGCACGTGTCCTCGTTTCAATCACAACTTTGACATTCCTCTTTTTTACGCATTCTAAGGCTGGGACAATGCAGCCCAAATTTAGTGTCCACAACCTCCCCTCAAAACCTGTAGGGCCCCCTAGCGCCATTCTCCAAACCCAAATCTGCACATTGATATTTCTTTCCACGCTTCTGCCAACATTTAAGTAATTTGATCAACTAGCAGGTCTTGGACCGGCCATCAGAGCTCATATTGTCCATCGCTTCCAATATCACAAATTTGATGACCTCCAAAGTCCTCTTAACGGTGATATATTTGTTTCTTGCAATGTTGAATTTTCCTCGATTTCAAACAGCCATAACCTTCTTTATGTTTGTCACAGGGAAATATTTCTGGAAACGTCTTTGAAATACCTGTCCAATAAAGCTGGTCAAGTACATTTCACACGCGCTTGCATTGTGCGTAGCAAACAGTTGGGCTAAGGCGTTTGAACATATGGAGTGAGTCAAATGATCACGTCGAAACAACATGCGTCCAAACCATGTTGCTGTGCCACATCCGGAGGCGTGCAAACAGCTTCCAGTTGTCGTCGGTGTCGCTCGCTCTCGTCTCTCGCTCTGCAAAGTTGCTCCTCGTACGAGGCGATGGTCCGTTCAAATATTCCCAAGATCTCGTCGGCGGCCGCCATCAGTCGCTCCCTCACAAAATCTTTCAACATTTGGACGTTTTGCTTTTCTCCCCCACCCACTTATTTTGTTTCGTTGTTTGTTTCGTAGTCCCACGCGTCGTCGGCCGAGCGTTTGTTTTGAAGCGATGCTAACTTCCGCCTTCTTCTTCTTCGGTGGTATCAGCTTCTTTTTGTAGAAGTGTCGTTACCAGACTGGCGCGTCACATGTCGCCCATCTTGCAACGGTATCAACGACCACTCTGACCGAGCAGGGATCCTTCTTTATGGCAACAAACACATAATGGGAGTACAGGGTGTAAAAACTAAGATACATAATAATTAATTATAATTAAAATCAACAAACAAATGCGACTTTCGAACGAAATAAGAAGTTGCGGCATTTTCAATCAGGGCCGTGAAACGTCGCAAGTGCACTGCAGAGACCAACCAGGAGATGTCAGCGTAGTGCCGTGTGAGAATTTGATGTCCCCCAACATGAACCTTGAGACATTTTTGGGTGGTACATATTGTACACGTTTCATATTTAAGATTGTTGGACTGCAAATCTACTCTTCGCACACCTCAGACGGAAGCATCATCCTCAAGACAAAAGATGCTCGCTTTACATTATTGGTCGCCAGCTTGTCAACGGCAAGCCCCAAAATGGGAACGAAAACAACCCGATTTGTGTTCATGTGTGTACCGATTCTGAGACCCCGTGTGATCACACAAGATTGGATATCTGCCTACCTATAAAAATATGTCACCCTAATGATAAATTAATTGATAACTATATGTAGGAATCAGGGAGGAATGGGTTACTTTCTTTAATATAAAAAGCAGTCTTTGCTTTGCGAATGTTTTAACGCGGTAACCTACCATTTTAAAGCATGAAGCAAAAGTCTTGGGAAACAATCAGATGTTTTTTTTTTTTTCCAGAAATCAAGACAAGCTTTTAATGTTGTTTTGAGTTCAGCGGTTGCTTTTGCCTTGGAACTCTTGAACGTCAAGCTCGTTGTCGAGTGATGAACGCAGATAAATTAATTGATAACTATATGTAGGAATCAGGGAGGAATGGGTTACTTTCCTTAATATAAAGAGCAGTCTTTCCTTTGCCGAATGTGTAAGTCAAATGTATCATGTCCTATATGTAGGAATCAGGGAGGAATGGGTTACTTTCTTTAATATAAAAAGCAGTCTTTGCTTTGCGAATGTTTTAACGCGGTAACCTACCATTTTAAAGCATGAAGCAAAAGTCTTGGGAAACAATCAGATGTTTTTTTTTTTTTCCAGAAATCAAGACAAGCTTTTAATGTTGTTTTGAGTTCAGCGGTTGCTTTTGCCTTGGAACTCTTGAACGTCAAGCTCGTTGTCGAGTGATGAACGCAGACCTTAACTGAGGTGAGGGAGGCCTTCAAAATTACAAAGTGCATTTGAGGTTTACTTGGGTTACCTTCCACTGTTACTGACATTTGCTTGATAATCTTGAACAGTCAAGTGGCGAAACTTTGCAAACCGCCCCCCCGCCCCAACCTACCATTTTAAAGCATGAAGCAAAAGTCTTGGAAAACAATCAGATGTTTTTTTTTTCCAGAAATCAAGACAAGCTTTTAATGTTGTTTTGAGTTCAGCGTGTGCTTTTGCCTTGGAACTCTTGAACGTCAAGCTCGTTGTCGAGTGATGAACGCAGACCTTAACTGAGGTGAGGGAGGCCTTCAAAATTACAAAGTGCATTTGAGGTTTACTTGGGTTACCTTCCACTGTTACTGACATTTGCTTGATAATCTTGAACAGTCAAGTGGCGAAACTTTGCAAACCGCCCCCCCGCCCCCACCCTGAATTTCAGAAGCCGGGCAAATTTCCCACGGCTTTGCATCTATCGATGGCAGTTAAAGGGTAAAAATGAGGCTTTCCAGCGGACAAAGATTGATGACCGAGAAGCATTGTTGAGGAAATAATACAGCAAATCTGCATTTCTTTAGTTTTTTTGTGAAAGACAATTAAAACACTAAAAAGGGAAACCGTGTTTCCACTCATTCTAGTCTATTACTTCCATTTTCCGCTTAACTAATCTTGTGAACTCATAAAAGGAACGTCGCATTCTCTTGCCTGGTCCGCATCACTATCCTCCTCCTCCTCCTCACCATCATCATCATCATCATCATCATCATCAACAACAACGGCAACAACAAAGAATCCAATTAGCTGCTGCGTGGTTGTCAAGCAAGCTTTTGAACAGTTGCAGCATCCAAAAGTATGAAGACGAGATTCTCTCCAGCCACCAGGAGCCAGCCCACGATTTGCCCCCCCCCCCCCAAAAAAAAAGAACAGCAGGAGCAACGATCCCTTTCTTCCATAAAGCAATTTCACACTCGGATTCCGACTTGTATGCTGCCGACCGATTGGCTTTTTGTCCTTTTTTTTATTTCTTTTTTGGTGCCTTTCCGACGGCGACTGCCGCCGTCGCCGACAAAAGACATCAAAGGTGACAGAAGTCTGTTGCGTACACTTTGATATTGTTAAAAGAGGCTTTTTTTTGGTTTACTATTGAAAAAAAAGCCTTCCCAGGTGTTTTAATAAGATGTGTGACGTCTCCAAACTGCCCCCAAGGACCAATAATTATACTTCATGTCCACTTATTAGCCTGTTTGGCAGAGGCGGGAAAAGTTTACTATTGGTGACCTAAATTGTTGTAAGTTGAGGGGTTCATTGTTTTTAGTGGATGGCAAAGGAGAGATGGAACCTTTGAACGCAGCCTTTTATTTTTTTTACAACGTCTGTTCCGCCGAACGAACGAACAAAGAACACGCGCGCGCCTCTTTCCGGCAACGAAAACACTTCCTTCTTTCCTTCAGCCAATCAAACGCAAGCAACATAAGAACGTTTCAGCGATTATGAAACAGAATATAATTTAGGTAACTGTAACATAAAAGAATTATGGAAAGTTGTTTTTAGTTGTGTAAACTTATGTTCTATGATTAATTATTGTCATTATATGTTTGAGCATCATATTCTTTCACGTTAAGATGAGCTACATTACTTTCTGTTGTTTAATAATTGCTTTGACATTTTTTTCTGTTGGTAGCTTCTGATTGGCTGTTGAAGTAAGGGAAAAGCAGGAAGTGATTTAGTTGCCGAGAAGAGTGCGTTCTCGATCGCACTGCAGTGCGAACGTCCTTTGAATAAAACTTCAAACGGAATCCGTCTCCCTTTTCGTCAAGTAGAGCCATACATTCAAAAAAAAGTGAACCCCCCAATGTACAGGTGTTCCCGTCCCGTTACGCTCAAAAATGCCGAGGTGAAACCGGTGCAAAAAAAAAAAAAAAGTTTGGCGGCCGCTAATCTGTGACATCATTGATCAACCCAGCCCGACTCAACTTTCAACTTACTGCAGTCGATTACAAAAAAAAACAAAAAAAAACCAAAGAATTTTGCATGAAAATGTATTCACATGAGCCCCAATTGGAAGAAAGTATCCGAGACAGATGCCAGATGCAAAATTGCAAAGTTGTTTTGTTTGTTTCTTTCCGCCCCTGGTGTCAAAATGCGCTTGAATTCTCTTTGCAAAGGCACAATTGTTGCTCCAGCTGTCATTGGCTGGCGCAGGCGTCGCTAATAAGCGTCGATGAGCCTCCGGCACGCCAACGTTGGATTTCCCTTCGCTCCGTGCCCGCTCGCGCAGGTTTGGAGTCAAAGCGGGCATCGTTCCTGGCGCCAAGGAGCGACACGCAAGCCGTCCTACGCGTTGGGGGAACGGCATGAAAGAAAGTTGAGGGGGGGAGAGAAAAAAAAAGGGCTCCTGGCAACTTATCCATATCGGGGATGAAGTTGAAAGGGGCTCGCCACACGCCGACGTGACACATGCGGCACCAGATAGTCACGCTAATGTTGGCGGGAGAGCAAACGGCGCGCATAGCGAGCGAGTGGGCCGCACGCGTGGCGGTGCCGGCAAATTTCCGGGGATGAAAGCGGAATACGGATCGCGATGTGAGCGTGAATAGCCGAGAGTCTGTCGTACCAAAGGAGCCAAAGAAACGGCGCTGTCAAAACAAACGATTCGAATGCGTTAATGCGCCGAGATTAAAGTGAATCAATTACAGGCCCTTTGAGAGAGCGCGTCACGGGATAAGCTCAGCGGATCCTCGCAGACACGGACGGACGGGGCCCTTTGTGCCGACTGGGTAGACACGGAGGGAATGCAAAAGCGGTCCATTTTGCTTTGATCCTGAAGATATTTGCCAGCGTTTGCGGCAAAATGGAGTGCCGAGCGTGAAGACGTTCAATCGAGCCACGGCCGAAAAAAAAAAAAAGAAAGCACACTTTCCTCCATATTGGGAGTCTGAGAAATGACCACCAAGCCTGAACTGGCTCTTTTCCTCTGTTTTTTTTTCCAGCACGGCTTCTAGAGACGTTTTGGTGGGTCCACTCATGATGGACACGTCTATCAAATCTCATGTTGCATAGCGCAAATGGCTTGAGGGCCTTCATTTTCCTCCCCAAAATACCAACATTCACCAAACTCTATGCAGCTTCCTTTTTTTTTTTTTTTTTTGTTGGTACACCAGTAATCGATAAAGCATCCCTTTTAAATTTCAAACCGCAAAATTTCAAACTTTGGTAGCTGAATTTAGTGAAAAAAAGGGCTAGTTTGTCTTTGAAGTACCAATGAAAATCCATCCTAAAATGGGAGCTTCAAACCTCAGCGGCAGACTTCCGCGATGGTTTTTGAGACTTTTTTTGTGGCTCTACTCGTAAATGCAAATGGAGTGGAGGTGTGGGGGGGGGGGGCGTAGGTTGACCTTTCATCTAATTCTTCAAGCGCTACCAGGAATCCCCAAGGTCTGAGTAGCGTCCAAGAATTTCAAGCCAAAATGTAACGCTATGCGAACTGTATCTTTTGGTGGGTCTACTTATGATGGACACATTGACCAAAGTCTATGTTGCTCAGTAAATTTTTTTCATTGGCTGAATTAAAAAAAAAAAAAAAAGATTCTGAATCAAAGTACAAGAGCAGATTCCCCGCGTGTTTTTCGTCATGGCTTCTTTGACTTTTTGGTGGGTCTCCTCGCGATGGGCACACCCACCAAATTTCATGTTGCTCAGTGAAACTGGTTTGGAAGGCTGGATTTTCCAAAAGTTGGTTGGCGGATGTTGGCTCTTTGCAGCATGACTTGGTGAGTCTTATTGG